GCCACGCAGGACTATTATGAAAAACTACAGCTATATTAAATTACAATTTAAATGACTAACCTGTTATATCTAAACACTTTTTTAGACTGATGCTATTAGTCTGAAGCTACAGAAGCTGATCAAGGCAGTAAGATCAAAGAACTGTCTTTGTAATCACATTGTGCTTCACTGAATACTGGTGCAGTACATTTTACTTTAAAAGTTCATTTTGTTTTAGTCATGTAATTTGTATTAACCAAACCTGATGTGTCTAGATATCCTTATCAATTTTCTTATAATTAAACTACTCAAAAATTAATGAGACTGCTATTCTCTTTATTTAATTGAGTTCCATTTGTCCAGTCTTGCAGATTTATACCATGTTTGAGTCTATTTAGTGAGTACTGAGAAAACGCATTGGAAATATGATGAAATCAACTAAGTGTGTAATGTTGACATATCTCAAATAGTTAAAACCAACTCATGTTTCTCTGATATCCTGCAAAACATTACTCTGTAAACCAAGTTCTTATTTGTACAATTACCCACTTATTGATACATCTCTTCTCATTTGAAACCTTCATTTACCAGTGTACTACAAAGTTCCAACGCTGTGTTGATCATTCACTACGGAAGATTGCTACTACAGGCCTCTATTTGGGCCCTATAGATCCCCGGAGGTAATCTGCACCTAGCATTTTACAGCATTTACTCTACAATAGTTTATATTGGGGCAACACAGCAGTGTTTACTCTTCTAATGTCGGATCTGCCTCTGAGAGTTGTGTTGTGTGCTCTACTTAAGCCACATTCATTGTTTATTCTTGTTTCACCTATAATAAAATAAGAACTACATTACTGAGATAAATGGAGTATGAGGTTATCTAGTTTTACAGCAGCTCCTGCAAGTACCTTTATATAGTTGGTGAAATGCTATTCTGTGATTTCATACATTCAATACTCTTCAGTGGACTGTAACAAATACTCCCCTCTGCTTCTTACAACAGTAGTCTGTCACATAGTGCAGCTGTGTGTGATTTTGTACCACTTTGTACCACGACAAATAAGGATACAAGGTGTAAAATAGAGCAGGATCACATACTAAGCGCTCAGAACTACTGCAGCTTTTTGCCACTGTTCTCCTGCTTCAGTCTTTAAACAGTTAGCTTTTCAGTAATGAGACTTTATCATTGTAAGAAGCAATTATTTTCCATTACTCACACTGTAATGCAGTTGCTGACTGGTATATCTGGGTTTCATTAATTTTGGAACTATTTTTAAGTACTATATCACACACCTGCAGGTTGTCAGCCACTATTGTGACAAGCTGTACAGCCTACATGATTATTCAGGATTCTAGGAAGGAATATATGTAATAGATTTGCTCTTTGTCCATGGTGGTTATACAGAACCTGATGGAATTGCATGTGTTTTGGTTGCGTGTTTTACTCAGTAAGTTCTAAGAAACATTTGGTAATGATACTTTAAATGTCAAAGCTACTCAAAGAAATTTTAATACTCAAGACCCCTGAGTCTCAGAAGTGACAGAAACTATATAGAGACAATACTGTGGCTTTAGACTTACTGGTGGGAAACAAGAGTTCCAGGTTGCTGTATCATCACTGCTTGTACTTATGCTAACATTGCAGTTGTCTATCTGTGATGCACTCAGCCCATGTGAGATCCCAATATCCCTTAATTCTTCATTTTGTTGCCTCTTCATGCTAGCCAGCATCTGTAGTTCAGATGAACTCAGTCTATTTGACTGGTAATTCTTCCAGTCATACTCCTGTGAAATAAAATGGAAAAGTCAGTATAGACAGGATCATGGAACAGAATATATGAATGAAACAGATAACTTGGAGAATCTCTTGGGGAATCTTCAAGAGGCTACGATACTAAAAGAGAAACAAAATGTTTACTAGAAAAGATTAGTTAACAGATTTCTGTTCAGCTATGAAGATCAAGCATATTTACACATAATTACAGGAAGGAAGAACAACACAAACACTGTTACGGACTGCAGTTTGGATCCAGGGTGTTTGGTGAAGTTGCTGTTCCACTGCAATTAAAAACAGAAGATAAAAGCAGGCTTTCAGAAGTTAAAAAATGCAGCAGCTAAAATTGCTTAAGCATTAAATGCAAATCTTGAAATAAACCAAATCACACAGTTATAGTATCATAAACACCATCAACATAACATTTAGTTATTTGTCAAGCACAGCATAAAATTTCTCTGGAAAGCTACACGTCAGCACTAAATTTTAAAAATTATTTTGGTAACTTGCTAGCATATACTTTTAAAAATAAACATCACTATTTTCATTTTTCTTTATACTCATGGTTGAATTGTTAATGTAACTATAATTGTCATATCAAACTTGATCCACAGGCCAGAAGCTGAAAACATGTATTAACTATTTGTACTTATGGCTCACTCAAAAACTCATGATAAGATTGTTTAAGCTCACCCAACCTGCTGTGGCATCTTCTTTGTTTAAAGAATTCCTTCAAGAAAAACTTTCCCTTTTTTAAAGGGTCCACATAAATTGCTGTTTCACAAAGGAACAGGTCTAACACTTGAGGCTGCTAGTTTTGGTTCTGAATGGAATTACAGAGCATTTCTGCTTCAAAAGTGAATCCAAGTAGTGACCAGAACTTCAGAGGATTTAAATCACTGGAATATGGCCAGTGGGCTCCAAGACACCACATAACAGTAACCCAAAGAGGGACAGTGCTTTGATTCTATTGAAGAGAACAGGGCTTTTAGACCAGGAGTTTATCGTGTTCCTGGCAGAAGAGGCAATCTCACAGTCTGTTTTGCTGTGGGGAACCGAGGACCTCAAGAACACAAGCAGGTCAGCAGTACTAGTGATATGAACATTGCTAGCTTTTCCTGCTATGAAATCCAGTGCGTAATGTTTCAGTGTGTCTTCCAGGGGTACAAAAGTCACACACTGGAATTACTACTACCACCTCCTCTGCTTTCTTCCTATGTATACAAGACACATATCTAAGTCCATGTGGATTATAATCATGAATTGGTCACACCTGAGACAGACGAAAACTTGAACTGCAGCTCTATCTTAGTGAGAGAAACAGTACAGCAACGTTCAATACCTTCAGGCTATGACATCACACAAACACAACATTTGCTTTTAAAAACCCTCATGAATATATGCAAGTGATTAATAAAATATTCTACGGGTTCGATTACTCCGCTCCACAGAGGTATGATGTATACAGCCCACAAATGATGTTACATGTTGGACATTGATTTCCTCATTTGAAGGAAACTGTGCAAACAGATATGTATATATCCTAGATTTTCATGTATATTGCTTAGTATTTCACATGCAAAGTGCTCACTTTCACCAGAAAGATTATATGACAACACTGCTGAAAAAGGAGGTTATTTTCAGTGACACACAGTAGTTTTTTTCTGTTTTAGGGAGTTCCATATACCTTAATAAAACTGTATTTTCTGGGAATCAGAAAAGCATTATTGTCCATCTGATACGCTTTCCTGCCAGCTTTTTTTGTTCTTGGGATCAGAGCAAAGCTAGAGAAGGAAGGCTACCACATTACTTATTTCCCCTCCAGAAGATTATCATAGATTCATTCACAGTGCTAAACTCAAAGTATAGGATGTGCAATACAATGCATATTGGAAGGCAATTCTGGACCAAGGACAGATGGAGAAACCTTTCCTTTTTAATAATACATGTAAAGGCATCATGCAATGAACCGAACCTTGATTTCAGCTCAAACGCTAGAATATTTTACCACGTATTTGCAAAAATAGTTTTAGAATAAAATAATGTAGCATAAAATAAATATGTAGCATATTTTTATTTCCTCATGGGTGCCATCAAAGAAATCAACAGTTATTATCTCAGTAGTATGTAAAATAATACTTCCTATTTTAATTCTAGTTAAGAAATTAAGTACCTCCATTCAGTAAAGATTGCTGCCCAACATTAAGTTTTTGGGAGTAGCAACTCTATCATGTATTTCTGCTGTTTCATTCTGATTACCATAATATTAGATTTCACTTAAAGACATCTATTGCAAATAACCGGTCAAAAAGAACATTAGCACTGAAATAACAAAGTAAACCACTTTTGATGGGAAGTTTGCCTGCAAGCTGACAATCAGCAGGTAAATATATCACATAAAACAGGATTTATGACTGAAGGGTACTTCACATGGAAACAGTTGTATGTGCAAATATGCAAATCTTTGTGAAAAAGACAATTAATTCTAAAGCCTATTGCAAACATTTTTGATTTTTTACTATGTATCTCAAATTCTTAAGTCAAATGTCTTTGTAAAGATTTTTCCTACGGAATCACCTCAAGCACTCAGAGGCTACTTTTTGGCACAGATAAATGAAGTCTGCCATTTTGTACAAGGTATAAGAAGATGACAGAAGCTGCTAGCACTGCTGCCACCCCTTTTTTACCTCTGGCATTTGAGGTTCAAGCTTCATTCCTTGAACAGTGTGATTATTACTACCATTTTTAATCCTAAACCAATACATTATGTTTTCTCTAGACCCTTACTGAACGTATGTTATTAGCTCAGTTACTATTAGTTACTTGTTCACTTCATAGGAAGCTTGCTGTGCTACGTCTGGGAAGTCTGCTTTGCTCTGATGTATTAGTATTCTACCAGACCTACAGCTGCTATAACTTCTATTGATCTTACTGAAGATGCTGATTTCTTGTTAATTTTCCTATATAGAAGCCTTCTGCATTTATTTGATTATTATAAGAGAAGCTTCAGCTTATCTTTCTTACCTCATGTAAGAAGCAATTGGCATGCTGTCATTACAATGACAGCATGAACTAGTGCTATGCAGAATAAAAGCACTAAGCATTGAAAGAACATTTTTCTCATTCTCTTTTCAACAAAAGCAAAACATTGCCCAACTCTGCTAGTCTTTTCCTTTACACCTATGAAGAAAGATGCATAGATTTTTGGAATTTTTACAAACCAATTTAAAACATTTATTGTTTTTTTTCTCCAGCTTATTTCAAATTGTCATTTTGTTTTCTTTTCTTGTAATGGTCTCACTCTAGAAATACCATACTCAGAAAGGAGAAGAGAGGTAATGACAATTTTTTGTGTTAAACATCCTGTACCATAAACTCCTTGTAATAAAGGAGAAATAGTTTGGACTATTTATTCTGTAGCTTCAGATGACTACTATAAAAAAACCTCTTCACAAATTTTATATTAGCCAATTTTCAAAGAGAGAATTTGAAAACTGAATTTGAGATTAAGTTCACTTTGTAATTTAGGAGAAACTCTTGATGTAAGAAGTAATTTTGCAATACTTGTAAATTTGTCTAAAATTAGTATTTCATTTAGTAATTAAAAGCTTATCTTGTCTTTTTGCATATCCTCCCCTTATGATAAAGTATTTTTATTATGTGCTTAAAACTTTTGCTAGATTGACAAAAGCTGTTGTTTAAAGGAAATTTTTCATATATAATGACATTTGCATTCTTCTAGGTTCAAATGATTTATTCAGAATTGTTTGAATGTAGTTATAAGTGTGGAAAACTTTCCCAGCTATCTCCATGATTGCAATATTACCTAGAGGGCTGTACTTCTTTCTTAATTGAAAATATCTGAATTAATAATAGAGAGCTCTATTAAAACATGAATAAAACATTGCAAGCAACCAGGTCCTTAAAGTGTATTAAGTAGTTAGCAAAGCGATTGCAGGAAGGGTTGGTTAAGCATTTTTTTCTTTACCAGTCCTCTGTATGAGCAGATTGGAAGAAACTCCTTCTCTGTAAACTCTCATTCTAATACCCTTTCATACGAAACTATCCTTTCATACATAATTCTTAAAACAATGAACAGAGTTTCAAAATGTAAATAAAAGAACTACATGCCCACAGCCAACAAAAAAAATCCAGTGCTGTATCACTGTAGTTAACAATATTATATGTGAGCACTTACTTTCTTGAAACTTGTGGGGACCTAGAATACTGGTTTCTTCCTGCAAAACTGCTCCAGCAGATACAAAAAAAGCTTTACATATGTATGTGGTCAGAAAAAGGCCATGTTCAAATAGCTTATTACACACTTTTAAAATTATTGGCAACATTCTTAATAAAAATTAATAAAAAGATATATTTGACTTTATAAATGCTAGGTGAACATACTTTCTAATATAAACAACTACTGTTTAAAAGGCAGTCAGTGGCACTCAAATTTGGCTTTAAATTTTGACCGTGGCCTAGTATAAAAAGAAGTGTCAAAGAATTGCAAGGAAAGGCTTCTGGATGGCAAAATTTTATTACTTGATCAAATCAAGTATGAGAGCTAAAGCTGCCAGACACTTTCACCTTCTATCTTGTAGCAATAAAACGAAGTCTGTAACTACTGAGTTTCTATACATTGATAATAGTCTTTGTCCTTGCACAAGCAACAAATTACATGTGCAATACACTTACAGCTGCAAGTGCAGTATGGTAATGACCCTACTGTCTATTTTAGTAATCAACTATTTATCAAGCAGAGGAAAATGATAGCTGTTTTCCTTCATCTTTTAAAACAAAATATCACAAAAAAAGTTGTAAAATATAGCTAACACTTTAGAAACTTAATGGCAATCCACCTAGGTAGTCTATACTTAGTTACATAGTTATGTTCTACAGGACAAAGTTGATCACTGCATTAAACACTGATAAAATCTTTTAGGAAAGTAATCAACATATCATTTAATTTGTTACGGACAAATAGATTACAGTCATGATTAGTAATAAACATAGTTGAATTTTAAGTGGAACAATTTTCCAAAACTGAAACGAATCAGGAAACAAGGGAGGAATATATTTAATCATACAAATGTGAATAGTTACTGGAAACTAGAAAAAATAAATTCCTATAGATAAAACTAGGAGGGAAAGGGAATGTAAAATGTAAATAAATTTTGGTTTACACTTACAGACAGATACATGGATATTAACACATCTAAGAAACAGAGAATCAGATTATCAGTATCAACTGGGGTTTTCCTATCACTAAAAATTACAGAAACATTATCTTACTTCTTCCCAAATACAAAAGAACACATGCATTGCATTCTTCCACATTTTCTACATCACTAGTGGCAATTCTAGTGTCTTTTCCAGATAATAAATACATAGAGCATATGCTGCTATTGGTAGGATTTTCTCTGCTTTTTTAAAAATCTTTTTCTTTTTATTGTCTTTAAGATCACCAGCCACTGATATTTTTCATCACCATAAGGTCTCAGCACTGCTTCTGATTTTCATCTGCATTATTGTATTTCATTCCCCCTGCTTCCCCCTAATCTGCTTCCTTCCCAAAGGACACCAGTCTCCACACCCTTCATGGAAAAGCATGTTCTGTTTTTATCAGGAAAAGTGCAAGGCCTTTACACAATCCAGTAAGCTACTTGCAGAATACAGAGATTTCTAGAACCCTCAATCAGAAAGACTATCTCACAGGACTGAGAGAGAAATAAAACCCAACCCATACAACAGTACTAAAAGAGACTCATTTCACAAAAAAGCACTGAAGCATCAGTGGCATGGCAGTATGTAATTTCCCTACCAAAGATACACAGAAAAGCTGAACATATGCTTTCCTAGACACTATTCTTTAATCTGATGCCCAGTTTGGATTGCTCTTCCTAGCCCAATGCCCAGATTTCTATATCCACAATTAGCTGCAGTGTGGTCCATCCTCAGCAGCCATAGCAGCCAAAGTAGGTAGGTAGAACCATTCTGCAGAATGACCCTCCCTCAGCTGTAGCAGCCTTGTCCCATGCAAGTAGACACTCCTGCTTCCCCTTTCATAGATGCCGTCAAATCAGATAACTAAAATTAACTGTACCAACAAGTAACAAAATTGCTACAGACTAAAATTCCCATAGCAGAATGACAGCATATCCCCCTGACTGGAATGGTGACTGCGGTATCCTATAGCAAATGAGATCAGCTACAAGGACAGAAAACACAATAGTGATGGAAGACGTCCATTTCCTTCATGCAGATGAGGTATATGTCATGTTGCAAGATATTACTATAGATATTTTTTTCCAAAGGATACACAACTGCTTCATAGAGCCACAAAAAAGAGAAGCGTTTATTCTTTTGGTCCTCAGCAGTGTGCAATACCTGATTCAAGATACTACTATCCAAAAACCACTCTTACATTAATGATCACGCAGTAGCTAGATTCAACATCCTTGGGTAAAAATGACAAAATCACAAAACAGCAATCCTGGGACTAAACACCATAAAACTCCTTGACCTGTAGAAGAGACAATTGCAGGGGAATATGATATACAGCCATCAAATAGTAAGTGGCACAGGTAAGAACAATCATTAAAAAAAGATTATTCATTGTTTCTTATAGCAAACGCAAGACTGAGAAAGCACCAGTAAAGTGAGACAGAGACAGTGCATTCAAAACAAATAAAAGGAGATACATATTTTTTCCCACAAGTAGCAGTTAAAACTCTGAAATTCACTGTCACAAGGCAAAGACCATATAGATACAAAAAGCAGCTACACAAATCTGTGGAAAAAATTCCACCACCAGTTATTTACCAAAAAGACAACGCTTTTCACTGAAGAAATTGCTAAGCTATGGACTGCTGCAAGGAAGTCTGCAGGGCATGCTGGCAAGGTATTGCTGGATGCTTGCTCCGTCTTTGCACTGTTTTTTTTCCTTAGCCATCTACGACTGCTGCTGGACGGAAGATGCTGGCTACGTAAGTCTTTGGTCTCATAGGGTATTAGCTGACATCTGAAAAAAAGATCTCCGAAGCCTGAGGAAGAAGTTTGGCCTGTTCCATTCTCAGATGCTCAGGAATAAATCTAATCTAGTCATAACACATTTAGAGAAGAGGTCACATGTTAAAAGATATGGATCTGCAGTAATTTTAAGCCCTGAAGAATTCTATCCAAAAACATGGAACAGTAACATACTGTCTCATTTGTGATTTACAGAATACACTTGATTCTTAAGGTCCAGTTCCTGATTCAAAGCACATCATTATAAGCTGAAAAGACAATTATTAGCTATTAGGAAATATTTAAGAACATAATTAGCTTCAGACAAACTTGTTCTTCGAATTACTGCATGTTTCCATAAGGAGAATCCAGGAAGAAAAAACTAGGAATAAAACAACGCTTTGGTGAATGTAACAGTTCCTTTAGTAGCCTGGCGATTTAGCCTATGACACAGTCTTACTGCTAGCCCTCAATCACGTAATTTATTATTTTTCAGGGCTGTCGCAGAGAGACTATGAAGTACCTAGATTAATGCTCTTTCTATGGCCACTCGTTAATATATCAATTCAAAGTCTGTCAATTTTCCTTTGCAATCTTTCAGGCCCAAACTACTTTCTAACTCACACATTTCCTAAATGTGAGTTGCTTAATGACACCTCTTTTTATCTATAAACCTCTGTGATTTCTGTTTTATTTAGAGTACTATTTTCTGTGCCACAAAAAAACTACAAAATCAACTTTCAACAGCCTGAGCTCAGTAAATACTGTTATGATGAAACCAGAATATATCTGGATGAAAGACGTATTATTTCTCACTTCATGCAAATGGGTATATCTAATATGGCTTCTCTACACAATCCAATAATATATATTCAAAATAAAAATCACTTACATAAGTCTGTGTCGTCAGACATGAATATTCCATTGAGATTTTCTTGAGAGACGTTTTACTGACGGATCTTTTTAATTGACCAGAAACTCCTTCATATCTTTCACTTTTTTCAGATCCATTTGGAATTACTTTAAAGGATTCAGATTTACTTCCAGTTGGAGAAAGAGAAAGGGTAGGCTTTAAGCTTCTCTGAGAGCTAACAGAATCTGTTTTTCTCACAGTGGGACTCTGTGGTTTTGATAAGATGGTCTCTTCAAGGTTATGTTTGCTGTGTCCCTTATTCTTCCAGTATTCATTTTGCCATGACATCCTCTTTAATGGGATCTCTTTAAAAACTGCTGAATCAGATGTTCCTTGCCTGCTGTGGCTGATCTCAAGGTTCTCAATACCCTGGATGAATTCACTGTTGTCATCCTAAATTTAGGAAACAAAGCAAGAGCGATTTCCTCTCATCATCACACAATACAGTTTTACATAACCTTAAAATTTCAAAATGCCCCTTTAATCTCTGCTGCCTAATTCCAAAATTGCAAGGATTTTGAAAACCAGCTGCTCTTCCTGACAACTACATTGAGTATACCATAAACATATTCTTACATCTCAAGTAGTGAAAAGCAGAAAGTAGAAAGAGGAGGAGAGGGAGGCAGGATCACAGTTTTCAAAACGTTGTCCTGAATTTAGAATGCTGGTAACCTTCCAAACCTGTGTGATACATGATAATCATTATTTCAACAAAATTTATTACAACTGTAAACCAAAAGTAAGCAAAAAGTCCACGACAATGATGTCTTTCCATTGAATTATTAATATTCCATATTTTCACATCACATCTTCAACTTAAACGTAGAAGGAGTAACTCCTGCTGAGATCACTTTGCTCACCTCTGGTAATATCACTGAATATCATATTCAGTACCATTTGAACATCATTTAAGAATTTTGGGGGTTAGATGGTTAACCTTGTATTCATGCTTCTAACAATATCTCTGCAAAACATCTCATGAATCAAGTGTATGATGTTCACTCATACCCCATCTTAACAACAAACAGGAAGTCCGAACACATGGAAAGAAAAATAATGGGGACGCACATCTAGAATTTGTCTCAATGTTCTTATTCTCAAGGAAGAAAGGAAGAGAGAGGCCTCATCTTCATCTCATCATGCTGGTCCTCTGCCATATGCTACCACACTGGAGGTAAGGCAGTATATATTGCAAGATTCAATAAGACACTGAAATATCATCTTCAGTATGCCTCTCATAGCCAAGGTGCAGTCCTACTGCAAATGAACGTGATCCAAGTTTGTTACTGACTTCACTGAGTCCAGGACTGGATTACACAGAATGAAATGCACATTCAAGAAAATAATCCCTCGATTTTATTAATGATATACGTTTTGGAAGTTTATAGTTTTATTCCCTCACTTAGTAATTTCTTTGAAACACAAATCTGTATTTCCCTGTTTTTCATGGATTTTTATTTGCCATAAGATATCTTAAAATCTGTGCTGGAAACTCATATTAAGTTAGGTTAACTTTAGATGGAAGATTACTAAAGAAAACACTGTATTTTCCCCCCACACATTAGAGATAAATGAATAACTTTGATTTATCTGAAGCTTAAATCCCTCCCACCTTTCCGTGTCTCTTCAGCCATGCATATTTAGGTTCTAGAATAATTTGTTAAATGCTAAATCATGAAATGGTGCTAGAAACATCCATAAAGTTTGCTTGATTAACTATAGTGCAGCATATGTAAACTGAAGAGGAGAAAGATTTTCCTGAGGAACGAGCACTTCCACTGATGTATTGTATTCCTTGAAAGAACATGCAGATGGGCAGTTCTGGATACATAAAACTGAGTGCTCTTGCTGGGTTATAATTTTAAGAAGATCATTCTAATGACTCTAGAGGGCCACCTACTAGGAGGAAATGGGATATAGTCCCTTTGTACGCTTTAATATTGAGGTATGAGAGTGAAATTATCTATCAGCCTTTGCAAAGGTCCATTATCTTATTTAATCTTATGCCTTTATTCTTTGAATCATATGAGGACAGAAAAATTCTCAGTTTCTTCATTGAAGGCTTCACTGGTGAACTTGCCTGCTACACTTAAACCAGCATTTTGATAGCATTATGTGACATGTGATCACACCTGACAGAGTCATGCAACTCTTGCAAACAGCAAGAGTTCTTGGTTTTGCTCTGGGTTTGACAGAATCCGTAAATGCTGCCATGACAAGTTTAATTATACAAAGTCTCTGACAGAAATTTGAGCTGAAAGCATGGACATTCATATAATTACAAAATAAGTCACTTGATGGTGAATGGTTCCAACAGAAGAAGCAATTTTTATCCTTTACTGATTGACTCTGATAATTGAATAGCATTGAACTATTTCAGTGACTAATTAGTAACCACTAAAGGGAATTTATAAATACTTGCTGCTCCCAGTTTGCAGGCTGAAACATTTCCTCCCCCAAAGCCACAAGTTACATAAACCGTATCATTCTAGCACAGTTATTGTGCATATGTTATGGCTCTAAGTATACGCAACATAAAGAGTCAATGTTCAATGTATCCTGATGCATAACCTGTCTCATATTTTACAATTAAGTAAATATTTTTTGTAGATAATACTGATTTTTCACAGATTTAATAAAAAAGTACATAATAATTCTTTGCAGCTCCACTAACTAGACTAGGATGAAACTGGGATTTAGCCCCTTCAACTGTAATTTTTTAATTCATGGTGCAGTGACATACAAAGCCCAAGGAAAAGTTTTGGAACTTTTGGGCTTTTTACCAGACTGAGATATTTAAACTACAAAGATACGCAAAATCACCTTTTTTTTTTTTTTAATTAAAACTAAGTTTTACTTATATTTTACAGGAGAAAGACAATTCATGCTCACATGCAATTATTTAAATTGTAGGTTGAGATGTCTATCTTATTTGATACAGTTCAAGAGTGTGTACATGTGTGTTATACACAAACATAATGTATTTGAATTTCAAAGCAAAACAATGATAATGAGAAACAATAATAGTGTGAAAACCTGTAACAGTGTAGCTTATTTCAGCATGTAAAATGAACATATGCTTTTAAAAAGCACTGCAAGATTCAGCATAACTTAGTCAAATATTTTGTCATATAAATGAAGTAAACCGGGAAACATGTTATGGTTGGGCTAAAGAATTTTGGTAATTGTGCAAAGATACCTTAAACTGTGCTAAAATAGATACCATTAAGTTAGTGGTCTTATGTTTTGCTATCACGGCTTTTCCAGGACCCTCTTTCCTATATTTTCAGTGCTTGAAATAAAACTGTTTTCTAGTTTACTTCAGTAATGCAAAGTAGAGCAATCTGAATATTAAATGTGTATCCAGACTATCAGTATAAAGCTGACTTCAAGAAGCAACACAGAATATATCCATACAAGGAAGAGGATGAATATGGGCAAAGTATGACTGCTAAGTAATTTGTTGGTTCAGTGACTTCTTTCACATGAAAGAAAGGCTAAACTATGAATTACTAATGTAGTAGTTAGACTGAGAAAAAAACCTCTTGATAATTTGTTAGCATGCTGTAGATTTGTTTAATGTAATTATCTTCTAGCTTTATAAGTCTAATGCATCTCCAGTTGCAGTGCTGACACTATTTAATGCAGTTTGTCATCCAAAGATAATGAATGAAACAAAGGCTAGGTGTTCCCTAGCACACCTCTGGCACATAGTCAAAGGAAAGTTTTTATTTTATATAATAACTTAAACCTTTTTAAAGAAGATAGGGCTCTTCTATCAGTCTCTCCTGCATCAAGCCTCTAGAATGGCCATTACTGTTGTGCCCCAATGTTGTTCTTGTGCTGTAAAAGCAGGAGTACTTGGCTACTGCTTTCTCTCTGTGCACTTGCCACTGGATCTCTGGGGCAGGATGATGGCATGGAAGGTTAGCTATCTTCTTCAATAAAGGCTTAAGCACCAAAGGTTAATGATTAATTTAGCTTTTGATTAATTTATATGAATTTGTCTTGCTTTACTAAAGTTCATCAGTTAAGTGTGCCATATGCACTGTGTTTTGCAAGACACTTTATTTTCACTCACTTACCATAGCATGGCCTTCACTGTTTGGTACTTCTTCAGAATGTTTTGTTTGCCATTTTTACACTGCTTTGGAGACGTATCTTCACAAAGGACTTTAATATCACCCAACATGCTCCCCCCGCCTCCGCCTCCCCCCCCCCCCCACAAAAAAAAAACAACCAAAAAAAAGCAATCAAATTGGAAACTATTGAAGCTGAGTAAATGACAGTGCTGGAAAGCTTCCATAATTCTTATGTTATGGAAGTATTTTCTTAACCTAGCTTCTACAGTAACCTCTCTGGCTTTTCATGAGCATAACAAAGAAATTCTTTGCAATCCAAACAGTTCTGTATCTTCAGAATGGTATCTCATGTAGCACTACTCATGAACTATCAGCTTGACTAAAACTTATTTAATTTTGAAATTCTGGAACGTCGTTTGAAATAACAGTGTCTTATGGGTTTAACTTAATAAATAATACACTGCCGCAGATAACGGGAAAACCCCCACATCTACAGAAAAAAAAAAAGAGAAAATTTTTATTTCTTATAATTAGCATCAGCAATTTGGTTTCTCAGAAATACAGAATATAGAGCAGTATTTCTGTTGAGTTCAGTCCATCTCCATTACGAGTCATCCATACTCCATTATGTAACTCGGTTGCATTTTATTTCTCAGCTATGAGCAACAGATTAGAATGTTAAGAAACAGATTTTATAATTAAAAATTAAATACACTAGAATGTTCATAAAGGTAGAAACTTTTAGCAGTTACTGTAATGACACAATGCAACTATACAGTGTGCATTGACAATTTGGTGAATTTCTATATAGTATCAGCTGATACATCTGTTTAAAAAATATTTCTCTTCTTTCATTCATTTATTGCTGAAAGATTTCCACATTGCAAAAGAATGATGCTGACACAGCTCAGACAGGATATAAAGAAGAAATACCAATCATCAAGTGACATTAAAGAGCTGAAATTTCTTAATTCACTTTCGACAATATTGGTCAGCAAAACAGTCCCTGCTTACAGTTTTAAAAGGCAAAATGAGGCCTTATTTACTGCACTCTTGCTCAACCATAACAGACTTACATTTCACTCAAATCTACGATGCAGGCTTTCCTAAAATCTTTTTTTTTGCAATGATGCACTATACTCACATTTCTCTGTTAGCATAGGGGCTGACAGAGTTAGGTTTCTTTTGTCTGCTTGCTACAGAGGGTATACCTGCATTTTCATTCCTGTATCCAGTTAGACACAGCAACCTGACAAAGACAAATCTACCTGTAGGTATACAGGGAAAAGATGATTTATCCTCTCTGTCTCACTTGAAGACAGAATCTCATCCTAGAGTTTTAAGGATGTAGACTACTTTATCAAGAATTACATGTACAAAGTGGCCTACCTCTTCACTGCTGTCAGTTCCTTGAACGTTATCTTCAATTTGGTTTTCCCCATGCACTCTGTTACTGTCTTGCTTCAAATCCAAAGGGAAAATGCAACATTCTGGTGATATATTTGGAGACCTCCCATGAGGAGCTGATTGAGGTCTTGATGAAAATGTGAAAATCTCTTTATTATTCACTTGGTGATCACCTGTTTCATTGCTGTGATGTTCAACAGAGGCATTCTGTGGTGAGGATAAATTATGGCAGGCTGAATCTTCAGTAGCTTCAACCTGCTCATTCCTATCCAACTGAATACTCTCAGCGAAACTTTCTGGAAACACCCATTCATCTGAAACATACAACATTTATTTTAATGCCAAATATGTAAATTGTATTTTACCCTGATCACA